ATATATATATGTATATATATAGGGTCTCATTAAGTTTCTGAGGGTGGCCTCAAACTTGTGATCCTGCCTCAGCATCCAGAATCACTGAGGTTACAGGCATGTGCCATTGTACCCTACTGAAAAACGTTTTTTTTTTTTTAACAGTTTTAAATGTTTTGCCATGAAGGCAACTAGAACAAAAACACAAACCTTTCAAATCATCACTAAAAAGTCAAAAACAATAATAAAACAAAGGCAATGAACCAAAACATAACTGTCATATCAAATAGTAGGTCACAATCATCTTCTAAATCTACCAAGTCTCATATTTGATCACAAAGTAAAATCCAAATGGTTAAGAAAGGTTGAAATTTAGGTGTGGTGGTTCATACCTGTAATCCCAGCCACTCAGGAGGCTGAGGCAAAAGCCTCACAAGTTTGAGGTCAAGCCTTGGCAACTTAGTGAGACCTGTCTCAAATGAAAAATAAAAAAAGGGTGTAACTCAGTGACAGGACTCCCCTGGGTTCAATCCCTAGGACCCAAAAATACAAAACTACTAGACAAGTGAATTCTGGCCAAATGTCATTAAATGAGACCAGGGTTCTTTAGTTATATGACTGTGAAGTTCACAAAAATAATCTGAATATCTTGTTAATATCTATGCAACAACATATATTAACAAACAAAAACTAGGGAAAATACAAAGAGAAATAGAAACACACCAGTAGGGGAGATTAATTTACCACCTCTTTAGGCCATGGTCCTAAGGCAACCCTAAATAGCATAATTATTAAAATAGAGTTGCTTTACATATATCAAATTTATAATCGGAAAACTAAAAGTTTATTTTCATGTATAGAAATTTTTCAAAATAATCGACCCTAAAGTAATTAGGTTATTAAAAAAACTTCAATAAATTCTGAAAGAAATAGAAATGCCATTTTCTAATCAGAATATAATAAAACTAGAAATTAATTATGGAATGAGAAAATAGAAAGAACCAACTGGTTAAATAAATGGTTAGCCATTTATTGCTCTTCCTTACTCAATACTTGGTTCAAACGGAGGCAAATATGAAGAGGAGAAAAAGAAGGAAGTGTGGAATGTATAAATGAAGGGGATCTGAACATAACACTAAAATTATGCCACTCTGGGTTACGGATTATTTGGGGCTGAAGACAATGAGAGGCAGCCCTCCTCTTGAAATTAGTTAAAACCTAGACACACCTGTACATAAATTCCTTGAGTTGTTTGTCCAGGAAAAGCCTCCCAGCCTTTCACCAACTGGCTTTTCAAGATCTGATATGAGCAAAAGAAGCCAGGTCATCGGTCAATGATGTCATAAGCTCAACATTCCCTGTGCAGAACATTACCTAATCCCCTACCCCTGCAAAGAAATACAAGACCTGGGAAGAGGCATGCCGTCTAGTCAACAAGTAACTTCTCCCCTCTCCCTTCCTATAAATTCCCCCCACTACCAACCTACCAAGGGCCTCCTTGCCAATTAGACATGCAATAATAAGCCTCTTTTCTTTTTGCAAAAACCCAGTACCATAGCACTAGCTTCTATGCATGGCAGGCAATGAGTCCTTGTTCAATAACATTGCTAGTGTCTAGTCAATACTCCAAAGTTTATTACCCTGTGTCAAAATGCCATGTAAGATTCAAAGAAAGAAGACCATGTAAAGACACAGGGAGAAAGATGGTTGTTTACAAAATAAGAAGAAAGGTCTTAGAAGAAACCAACCTTGCTGACACCTTCCTCTTAGACTTCCAGATCCAGAATTGCAAAGAATGTCAAAATCTTCTGCTGATTTTATGCTCTGTCCTTTTATACTTCAAGACTTGGAGCCAGATTTCAAATAGGTAAGCCCACAGCTTTCTGCTGTGTGAACTATTCTCTCAGGTTAAAAAGAGAGAGAGAGAGAGAGAGAGAGAGAGAGAGAGAGAGAGAGAGAAATCTTAGATCAAGCCCTGTATAGATCTATTTCACAAGCATCCATTTCTCAGTGGAGCAAGTTGGTGGAATAGAGGCCCACAATGCTCACCTGTTCCCCCACCATATTGAAACAAAGCAACAGGTGTGTAGCTGTATGTGGAGATGAGTGGCTGTGGATGTACACTGGAATTCAAAAGCAAAGAGAAGATGACCTGGAAATATTTCAGACACATATTAGCACAGCCAGAGAAATAAAGTGCCAAGCACTTGTCATCTCGCACCAGGGAGAGGAGGTAAATATGATGAAAGACAGAGAGAGTCTTGGCATTGGCTCAGAAGCTTGCCCATTACAGACACAGCCTAAATAAGTGAGAGACTTGGAATCTGCATCAAAGGCTAAAAACTAGGAGAAGAAATCCGCAGCATCTCCTAGCATTCCCTCAGAGTGCTGTAGCTGGGAGCCATCCAGAGAAGAGTCTCCATTGTCAGAGTCTGTACCGCTCTGGAGGTCAGAAACCTTGGCAAATATCCATCCCTGGGATCTATGGAGACTCTGTTACCATTGGGATGTCCAGTCGAAGCCCAGGTCCTTGGTGTCCCGAACAAAGAATTGAGTAAGACACACAGAAGTAACAGAGAACTTATTTATCGAAGGTGCAAATAGGAAGAAGGTGGTGGGCTGAGGGTGGGGAGGGGGTGGCAGGCTCAAGGCCCCAATGTCTAGAAATTAAGGTCTCACATCCTGAACTGTGGGGCTTTCTCTTTCCTATACAAACCCAATTAAAGACCTTATCCCATTTTCTCCCATTTGTTATCTTATGATACCCGATTAGAATATTTTCCACCCTCCACCCCCATTGGTTACTTTAGAAAACCTAATTAGAATACTGCCCACTTTACTTCCATGGTCTTTTTAAAATTTGAACCTGTCATAGTAATAAGTCGTCAGTGGTGGGAGTTGTCACAGTAATGGGATTTATTGTAAACAGGGACAAGACTGTCGCCTTGTCTTCTAGCAGTTTCTTTTTAATATCCCGTCCCCACCACCTTGGTGTCCCTGAATTCCTACCTAACAAGTCTGCTCCATGGCCTGAACAGTGGCCTCAAGGCAGTCCTGGCTCGGTGAATGATTGACACAGGCCCGCTGGGAGTTCTGTGTTACAAGACCCAAGGACCACAACATGAAGGGGAGCAGAGAACACTGACATTTGGAATCTGCAGATTGATGAGCTTTCCCTCTGAGACCCAGAGAAGACCAGTTCATGTGGTTTTACAAGGGGCCCAGGTCTGCTAAGATCAAGATCCAGGATAAAGATCCCGTGATTCCCAACACAGGCTCCCAGCACAGGCCTTTGTGGTCAATGGCGACCAATTTTCAGAGACATTCAAGGATCCTCTCCTGCTGTGGCCTTCACCCCACACTATAGTGTACAGTTTAAGAAGCTCCAGAGAAGCCAGGCACGGTGGCACACGCCTGTAATCCCTGCAATTAGGGAGGCTGAGGCAGGAGGATTGCAAATTCAAGGTCATCCTCAGTGACTTAGTGAGAACCAATCTCAAATAAAAAATGATGGGGATGCAGCTCAGTGACTGAGTGCTTGCCTACTATGCATGAGGCCCTGGGTTAGAAGGGAAACAGAAAAGAGAAAAGAGAAGAGAAAAGGGGAGGGGAGGGAAGGGAAGGGTCCAGAGAGACTGTGGCTAGAGCTGACTGCATTCCACCCTAGCTTATTCAGGTTGGAAATGCAGCTGAACAGTATTTCAATTAATATAGCCACAACTCATTCCTGACTGATGCCTGGCGGGGTATCATAGATGGAAGAACAGTGGGGTGGGGGTGGAGGTGGGACTTGGCGGTGGATGGATAAAATCCTGCCTGCCTCCCTGCTCCCTGCCTGGGGGTGCACAGCCTAAGAAGACTTGGAGATAAGCTTAGATTGTTAAAGTCCAGGATCTTCTGCACTCACTTGAGTTCTGAGCACCTTGGCTAGGAAAAGTCATTTTATGTAGTTTATTATTTTTAAATTTTTAATTCTATTTTTGATTTTTCTATTTTTTCTTAAAATTTTTATTTTTTTATTTTTAAATTTTTTTTGTTTTCTTCATTTTTACTTTCTATTTTTATTTGTGTATTTTTTATTCTATTACTTTCCATTTTTCCCATTTTATTTTTTATTTTTACTTTTATTTAACTTTTATCTTTTATCTTTTACCTTTTTCTTTTTTGTTCTCATTTATCATTAAAATCTGTTTATCATTTTTTATTTATTTGTTTATCTATGATACGGGATTGAACCCAGAGGTGCTCTACCACTGAGCTATATCACCAGTCCTTTTCATTTTTCACTTTGGCACAGGGTCTGGCTACATGGCTGAGGCTAGCCTCCAACCTGCAATCACCTGAGTCAGAGCATTGCTCCTGTGCTGGTATTACAGATATGTGACATTGCACCCGACTCAACACTTTTTTTTTCTTTATTTTGAAATCTTTTTTTACTTTTCTTCTTTCTTCACCGTTGGGTATCAAACCCACGGTTTTGCACACATTGTCTGGGTGCTCTGCCACTAAGCTATACCTCCAGCCCCCTGAGAGGAATTGTGCCCACTCCAGCCACAACCCAGTCCTATTTAAACCCTGACAGATACTTCTATTAAAAAATAGGGTACACCTGGTACACCTCTCAGATGTCCACCAATCCCCAGGTGAGCACAGCTAGGGGGGATCTGAGGCCCCATTCCTGGGCAAACATGCCCACAGTAGCAGCAGAGAAGAATACTACAATGGTTGCTGACATGGCTCCTGTGTGGGTTCTCTACATTGGTTGTAGCAGCATCTTGTCAGATTTCACGCTGATCACAAATCTAGAGGAGAGTACTACAGAAGGGGAGCTGTGGTTCTGGCCCCTACTTCTTCCTTTGAAGCACCTCAACCTGCACCAGTGTCCGATCAGAGGATAAAAACATCAAGCCTTTCACCACAACTGGAGCTACCATAATCAGAATTGCTTTTAAGTGGGCCGTGGCTGTGGCTCAGGGGCAGAGTGCTTGCCTAACATGTGTGACACCCTGCGTTCAAACCCCAGCACTGCAAAAAAGCTAAAAATAAAACTGCTGCTTGAAAGTAACAGAGCCAGTATAAACCATGCCCATGAAAAGCTCCATCACCTGATAGGGGCTACCATTCTTATAATAGAAGCAACCACAGAGGGTAAACCTCACATACTCAGCTACTATCCCCACCACACCTACCTAAATACCAGATTGTCCCTACTCTCATAAGACCTGCAGAAACAGTAGATTTCTCCAGTTAAAATTTGGTACAATCTGTGCCCAAATCCATGAATCACAATCAAAGAAGCTACGGGGAGTTCACACTCAGGCATCCAGTTTGAAATAAACTCAACATTTCAGAACAGTAGTATCCTCAAGATATATCATCAGGAAAAAGCTGCATACCAAGTGAGCCATCACCTTAGAGTTAAAGAGATTTCCATCCCAACAGATGCTCAAATATCAACAGAGAAACCCAAGAAAGATTAAGAACAAATAAATATGATGCCTCCTAAAGTTTATAACTCTTAAATATCAAAGATATCAAAGTGGATGAAATACCAAATAAAGAATATAAAAGAATTATTTTTTTAAAACACAATGAATTATAAGAGAATACAAATTGTATGGTTTCAATATAAGGTGTCCCCCAAAAGCTCATGTGTGAGACACTTCAAGAATGTTCAGAGGTGAAATGATTCGATCATGAAATGTATAACCTAATCAATGGATTAATTAACTGGTATGGATTAAGTGGGCAGTGACTATGGGCAGGTAGGGTGTGGCTGGAGGAAGTAAGTCACTAGGGGCTGTGGGGTTTATATTTTGTCCCTGGTGAGCCGAACTAACTCTCTGCTTCCTGGTGGCCATGTCCTAAGCTGCTTTCCTTCTGCCCATCTGCTAATCTGCTTTATCCAGTCCCAGAACTATAGAATTAGCCAGCCATGGACTGAACTTCTGAAACTGTGAACCAAAATAAACTTTTCCTCCTCTAATTGTTTTTTTTTTTCAGGTCTTTTGATCACAATGACTCAAATGCTGACTGAAACACATACTGTTTAATGAAATAAGAAACATACTGCAAGACATAAATTAAAAGTTCAGTAAAGAGATAGAGATTTTGATAAAGAATCAAATAGAAATCTTGGAAATGAAAAAGCTCACTAAGTGTAAAAAAAAAAAAAACAAAAAAAAGAACTCAATTGAAAGCCTCAACAACAGACTAGCTGGAGTAGAAGAAAGACTATCATAGCTTGAAGATAAATTGTTCAAAATACTGTATTTACACAGAAATAAAAAAAATAAGAAAGAATG